GTAGAGTACCCTGGCGTCACAGCTCACAGCTACCCCCAACTGTTGGACTCAAGGGATTCTCTTGGCTCAGCCTCCCAAGTAGCAGGGACTACAGGCACCTGCCACAACTCCCAGCTATTTTTTTGTTGCTGTTGTCATTGTTGTTTAGCAGGCCCGGGGTTGGGTTTAAACCCACCGTCCCAGGTATATGTGGCTGCCACCCTAGCCACTGAGATATGGGCACCAAGCCTCGTCTGATTTTTAGTTCTGTCTTTCTATTTTCTCATCCATTCCCTTTGTTGTCTTAATCATCTATAATTTAAACTCCCTTTCTGGGATATCCATTAATACTTTATAGGATGAGTCTTCTATAAAAGCTTCCTCATGGTCCCTTGGAAGAGTTGCTCTATTTTGGTTTTTCATTGTGGCTGAATTTTTCTGTTGGTTCTTCCTCATGTGTGCTTTCTTGTTCACCTCTTTGTGCACCTTTTTCCTTCTCAGTACTTCCTTTGCTTCAGATTATGTTGTCTCAGAGTTTACGTGATGTGGCTTGGCGCCTGTGGCTCAAGTGGCTAAGGCGCCAGCCATGTACACCCTAGGTGGCAGGTTCGAATCCAACCCGGGCCTGCCAAATAACAATGACGGCTGCAACCAGAAAGTAGCCGGGTGTTGTGGTGGGCATCTGTTGTCCCAGCTACTCGGGAGGCAGAGGCAGGAGACTCGCTTGAGTCCAGAAGTTGGAGGTTGCTGTGAGCTGTGATGCTGTGGCACTCTACCCAGGGGGACAGCTGGAGGCTCCTGTCTAAAAAAAAAAGAGTTTACGTGATGAAAACAAAAATGAATGAAAATAGCAAAATTCTGCAGCGTGGTCTTGCCAATACTATCTTCCTAGCACCAGAGGTAGAAAGGTCTCTTAGCCCCCTTGAGTCCCATCACTGCTGTGCCTACCTGCCAGGCCACAGCTGTGTCTCCCCAGCTCTCAGAAAAAAAAAAAAAGAAAGAAAGAAATAATAATAAGAATGTATAAAGGAAATTAAAATACCGTTGTATCTAATAGAGGAGAGAGAGGGAAGTGGAGTAAAGACAAAGGAGAAAGACAAGAAAAAGGGAGGGGATGTTTTAGCTGTTGCAGCGGCAATTGTTGTGAGAGAAAGGTGGAAGAGTCTCTGTCGAAAGAGAGAATGTACTGGAGTGAAATATGGAGAGAAAAAAATGAGGCTAAAATATTGTAACCAAAAAAGACAGGAGCTCTTGCTCTTTTTTTTTTTTTTTTGAGATAGAGTCAAAAAAACTCTATCCTCGGTAGAGTGCAGTGGTGTTACAGCTCACAGTAGAGTGCAGTGGCGTTACAGCTCACAGCGACCTCCAACTCCTGGGCTTAGGTGATTCTCTTGCCTCAGCCTCCTGAGGAGCTGGGAACACAGGAGCCCGCCACAACGCCCAGCTATTTTTCGTTGCAGTTTGACCGGGGCCAGGTTCAAATCTGCCACCCTCGGTATATGTGGCCAGTGCCCTACCCACAGAGCCACAGGTGCCTCCCAGGAGCTCTTGCTCTTGATGAAAGTAAAAATAGAGGTTAAGGAAAGAACCAACCATACAAATAAAGCGAGGAACAGAACACATCACAAAATACCAAAAAGCTCAAAATAACCAAAAATAAGCAACCTTAGTAACAGACCAAAGAACAACAAAAAAGAAAAAAGGAGAAAGTACTAACAGCAAGAAGAAAAAAGAAAAAAGAATAAAATAAAAAACTAGTTATATATATACATAAATGTGTATTCCTTGGAGGAGTTGCTCTATTTTGGTTTTTCATATATATGGCAGGAGGATCTAACTTTAGTAGGACTATATTTGTGTTGCAATATATTGCTGGACCATTTGGTGGTGCTGTAGTTTCAGGGATTGGACAACACAGCTGATAACCTCTCTCTAGAACCTAGGCATAGACCGGATCCCCAGCTTAATTGTCCACAGTGATTACTTGGTTATTTCCGCAGTATTCAGGTTCTGCTGGATTGGGAATTCCAGATTTCCCCTGAGTTCTTCAGAGGCAGTTTTTCTGTGCCCCCAGATAACAGTTCTTACGGGGTGCTGGAGTCTCTGATCCTTTCACGACTATAGGACTGATCCTAGCAGGTGGAACTCAAAGGGCTATCTATGTTCCTATAGGGGACCTGGCCTCATGACCTTGCCATAATGGCCGTCCCCTTGATGCCAGGACCTTCCCAGAAAGGCTTGTCCCTACTGCTGCCAAATCAGTAGCAAGTTGGCTCCAGCCAGCCCTCAAATCTGTCTGCTATATACTATTCAGGTTTGCTAACTTTTCCAGGCAGTCCACTCAGCATTCTTCCACCAAGAACTGAAAACTGCACAAAGGCTTCCTTGCGTCCTGACCTTCGTGGCTCCTGGAGGCAACTGCCACCAGGGCCTCCTGCTGGGGGTCTGCACAAGACTTGCCTGCGTATCAGAACTCTACCCCACTGCTCCAGTTCACGTACAGCAGCCAGCCGCCCGCTGCCTCACGCTCACCCATGAGCCACAGCTGTAGGCAAAATCACCTGTCTAACCGCCTCCTGACTAACTCTTCGTTTCTCAGTTGCTCTCAGGATAATCTCTTGAGCTCAGGAGTTTGAAGTTAATGTGAGCTGTAATAGCTCCACTATGTTCTAGCCTGAGCAGTAGAGTAAAACCCTATCTTTTTTTTTTTTTTTTTTT